CCAAACATCAACTTTGCTGCAGTGTATCCAGCGGTTTCATGCTCTGCTGTCCTATAGGCCATCTATAGTGGAGGTAGTAAGACATCCCAGTCATCTAGGCGACTATTACAAAACTTTGCCAGTTCCTGTCCCAGTGTCCAGTTGTACTTTTCTACCATCCCATCAGACTGTGGGTGAAGTGGCGTTGTCCTGGTCTTTCGTATGCCAAACAATTTGCAGCATTCTTGGAACACAGCTGATTCAAAGTTACGGCCTTGATCTGATTGCAGTTCGTATGGCATACTAAACCTGAAGAAGAAATCACTAATAGCTGAAGTTACAGTTGTAGCTTTTTGATTAGGTATTACATATACCTCAGACCACTTGGTGAAATAATCCATCACCACACAAATGTACCTGTTTCCAGCACGAGTTTCAGTCAAAGGACCAGCAATGTCAATGGCTACTCTTTCCATTGGTGTGCCAACTTGATATAACTTCATTGGAGCACGTCCCTTATGCTTGGGTCACCTTTTAACACATGTCCTGCACCATTCTTCCATATCTTGCCTCATACCTATTCAGTAAAATCCCTGCCATAGGTGACTCAATGTCTTCTTAACTCTGAGATGTCCTCCTGTGATTGACGCAGCACAACTTCCTGTAACTTTCTAGGTATAACTGGTTGCCAGGTCGTCACTTTCCCATCTGCAGTTTCCCATCTCCAGACAAGACTACCATTATCAAACTTCAACTGGCCCCATTGTGCCCAATAGTTCTTTGTCACAGGGCTTAAGTTAGACACCTTCTCCCAAGCAGAGAGCAAAACACTTGCTTTTAGAAAATCAATTATTGGCTTCAAATCTTGGTCTTTCTCCTGTTCTGCTTTAATGTCTATACTTGGTTCCACTTCACCATCATCAACTCCTTCAGTCACTTTGACTTCAGCTTGATGGCACCTGGTTAGTCCAACCTCTCTTTTAACACTTACTGGAATTTGGTCTTTGTTGTTCCCAAACGTCATTTTCTCAAAGTTAACTACACACTTCCTCGGTAGTGTGTAGTCCAACCCTAATATGCATGGGTCTTCAATGTCAGCCAAGTATACTTTTTGTCTGTCCTTTATGTCCATGAGTTCAATAGTTACCCACACTGGTCCCCACAACCTTGTATAATGTCCTGTTACACCACAGATCTTCTGTATGGCTTCTGGTACTCCTTTGCGATCCAGCACCTTGATACTCGCAAGGGTTTGCTGAGATGCAGAATCTATGACAAAATTGCACTTTTGGCCATCCAGCTTTCCTTTCACGTAGACACTATATGTGCTTGCCATTTTACACTTAGCTGTTGGGAATTTCACATTGGGGATTTGTGGGCGTCCCTCAGCACCAACCACTACTAGTTCCCGAAGCTGACATATTGGTAGTATTCTTCTTACACTAGCTCTTCATATGTCCTTGCTCTCCACAGTTCCAACAACCTTCCTGGTGTAGCAGCCTTTCCTGCCGTTGCATCTTCCCTGTGTTGGAGTTGCTGGCATTGAGCTCTCTTGTGCCCCGGTTTGTTACAGTGCCAGCAAAGTCCCTCAAACGTCTCTGAAAGCTGCCCTTTTCTGGCCTTGAATCCTGATGACTGTACTAAACTTGGTACCTCTGCACTGGACTTAACATAGAATTCAAATTCAAGAGCTCTGGCCATTGCATCCTGCTTGCTTTACTTGTATCTTCAGTTGTGGACTGTCCAAGGCATCTACAAATTGATCCCTCAGCAACAGCTTGAGAAAATCAGGTGGTGCAGTTGGGTAGGCCTTGTGTGCCATACTTTGCAAATGCTGTGCCAGCTCTTGCAGGCTCTCCCAATTAGCACAGACTCTACTCCTAAACCTAACCCTGTAGACTTTGGACTGATTTTAAGTTCCGTACCTGAGTTCTAGAGCAGCTACCAGTGCTCTATAGTTGTGCCTGTCGTCTGCTGAGAACTGTCCAAGTATTTCCGGTGGTTGTCACTTCAAGCTCGTTGTCAGATATACTGCTTTCTCCTCCTCTGTCCATTCATTCATTTCTGCCAGGAGCTCAAATTGTGCTCTATATGCTTCCCATGGTGCCTTCCCATCGAATTCCTATGGCTTTCTTCATACTAGATCACCCCTATTCCTGACATTCAT